GGAGAGGGGAGGGAGAGAGGAGGAAGGAAGGAGGGAGGGCGGGAGGCGAACCCGAAAGGCCCGAAGGACCGGCAGGCAGGCGGGCGAGGACGGCACACCGCGGTGCATTACTCATCGCCAGGGCACAAGGCACTTGACAAGTAGGGAAGTGTTGTTACTACCAAGAGTCTCGTGCTCCCAAACGGTACGAGTGGGGGACATGGGCCCTCCTCCTGGGAATCACGGGCTGTGCAGGAGGCTGGCAGGGAGCGGAGCCTCCGGGGGGCTGTCTCGGGTGCTCGCCCTTTATCACAAGCATGGCGCAGTCCCCGCCGCCGCCTGGTTTGTATCCACAGCTGCCCGCGAAGCCGGGCCCTCTGGGATGACTGCTCCTATGCGTCCACGGGCAGGGCACAGGCTGCCTTGTCCAGCTCTGAGCTCGGCCTCCTCCAGCCACAGTATCATCGGCAGCCCCCCAGCCCCTCCACCGGCGAGGGTGCCGTGTGTGGGGGACGACCTGGCCTGCACTACGGCTGCCATGGTTTTCCCCAGGGACCCCAAGTGCCAGCCACACATCTTCCCAAGAAGCTCTCTCTCCCGATCCAAATTAAGAGAGATCGCGACGCTGTAAAGGTTTCAAGAAATCGGATTTATTTTCACAAACACAGTGTTGTTCACTGAATGAGCGACTCCAAGAGACATCCTCCCCCAAACTTACTGGTGGTCCGGTAAATCCTGGGGGGCCGACAGGACCTTGCAGCCCTGGCAGTCCCGGCGAGCCCTGCAATTTAGTGAAAATGCGAGAATGAGATGGGAGCCAGGAAGAGACACTGCATGTGCTTGTAGTGATTTAGCAAACGCTTACTGGTGCTCCTGGGAGTCCGGGAAATCCTCTTTCGCCTTTCAACAGGGTCCCAGGCACGTGGCCAATTATTTCACCTGGATCCCCCTAGGGGGTGAGCAAAAAAAGGAAAGAAAGTCACAAAAACTGACATTCGTAGAAAGAAACCGAGAACCCGTTGCGTGAGAGGCGAGCGTTAGTGGTGCCGAATCAGCCCGTGTCTGGGATTGAGAGCCCGTCTACGCTTGAAACACGCGCACTGGCCACGTCCACGTTCGCCACGTTCACTGCCACTGCCTCCATGGCCAGCGTCAAGCGCCACGCTTAGCTGGACTCGGCTGCGCCAGGACTGGATGTGGAGGCGTCACACGAGGAGCCCCCCGCTTGTGCGTGGCCGTGCCCCACGCCTGAAGACAGAGTGCAGATCAGGGCCGAGGCTCTGTCTGTTCTCATGCGATAAGGCTTATCTTTCACAAACAGACCCAGGATGAGCATCTGTATAAAACAGGCTGTGATTTCATGTGTCTGCTTGGCCAGGCCACAGTACCCAGATGTTCAGTTAAGCCCCAGTCTGGATGTCCCTGGGAAGGTATTTTTAAGATAAGATAACCATTTACATCAGAAGCCTCTGAGTAAAATGAATTATTCTTCTTAATGTGGGTGGGCCTTGTCCAATCAGCTGAAGGCCTCAAGAGGAAGGGAAAAAAAACAAAAACAAAAACCCTGGCCTCCCCCAAGAAGAGGAAATTCTGTCTCCAGACAGTCTTTGAACTGGGACCCTGGCTCTTCCCTGGGCCTCCAGGCTGCTCTCCTGCGGATTCTGGACTCTCCAGGCCCCCACAATCTTGCAATTCCTTAAAGTAAACCCCTCTACCAGGATGTACGTCTGTGCCTGTACGTGTGCAAACACACACTCCACACACACACCCTACCGGTTCTGCTTCTCTGCAGAGCCCCGACTAAAATACAGGACTATCGTGAGGATTCTATTTCTCAGGTTTTCTCAGGGACACAGGGACACAGGGACACTCCACCTCATTCGGATATGTGGTCGTCTGCAGTGTGGCTGTTGAAAAAAAACCCAGAACTTGTCCTTTTACAGAGCTGCTCTCAACACCCAGATGCCCCTGCCCCCCAAACTGCTCTGCAGCACGCAGGGGGGCGGGGAGTGGGCACATGCTTTGAGTCATCTCGGTGTGACCACAGCCCCCGGCCACATCACCACCCACCTGTCTGGGCAGGACCCGTGGGCCAGGTTCCTTTTGCGCCCCCCCCC